AAAAAAATATATATATGTTCCTTCATATACATATGTGTAAATTTACGTAGTATTAAAATAACAAGAAAATATACATATATATATTAAAAGTGAGTAAATACATAGTGATTTTTGTTTTAATTTTGTTGCAATGTTTTTCAAGTCAAAATTTGTTTGTTATTTTTTCTTAAAGATATGGTTCATTCTTTAAGCAAAACCACACAAGTCAAACTGTATTTAGAATTTAGAAAAATTCAACAAAATTTCATCTAAATTTTGTACTGTTTAGTCTGAATTTTTAGAGCATCGGTTATGTAATTCTTGTTAAACCAGTGCAAGTGGCTAAAAACTCCCGTTGATTTCTATTGATTTTTTCTTGCCGACGCCACAAGTTATATATTTTCGTAAGAGGCACTTCAATACATTTCGTGCTGTAGATCGCTAACGTTGATTGGGAGATCTTTTCATGAGTTATTGACGAATAGCTCCGAAAAGTGCCAAAAATCCCGTTTTCGAAGAAAATCTCGAATTGTCTTTGAAAGGAAAATTGTGTACTATTGTGTCGTGTTTATCGAACCAAAATATGCTTGAAAAAATATAGGGTAATGCGATTAGTATAAAATTTGTAGAGCAGTGTTATGCCGAATTTCCAATAGGCATTGAAATGGCAAAAAATGTATGCCATTTAAAAAAATGCCATGTGGAAATGAGCATAATGACTATTTTTTTAATGTAATGACACAATTTTTTTTAATGCCCGACTTTATCATTTGTCATTTAATGCCTAGTGGAAATCCAGCATTACTGATACTTGTCATGCTGATCGCCATTTTCTTGCCGTCCATTGTCTTCGACCCCACAAAATTGAGAACGCATTTACTCGTTGAAGCTTCAAAATCAGCCTCGTGCTCATGTAGTTATCAATCAGTTATGGACACTGCTTATATATTGATAAGTAAAGGGCTCCCGCGGTTTACATATTTTAAAATAGCGAAAAAAATAGCGAATAAAATGCGGAACAAAGGCAGGACACTTGGAAAAAATCAGAACATTTTGAGGTTTTGCTAATTTGAAAAACTACGCAGGACAGACCTTTGAATAACAATATAGCCCTGCAAAATACAGGACGGAGGGTCACCGTAACTATAATGCTTGATTTCCATTGAAATTTCCTATTTAAAAAGCTATCAAAGTCCAAAACCAATTAAAAAATTTACAAAGTTGTAAAAATAATAGGGGTATTTTCGATCCGTTGCATACTGTCTAGCAAGATAGCATAAATAGAAAATTTGTTTGTTGTTTGAACGCAAAACATGAAGCAACAACAAAGTTATCAAGTCATTATATTTTGGTGCTTTCTATGCACCATGCTAGACAGTATGCAACGGATCGAGAATACCCCTAACATAAACAAATTCATACAGTTTGGATATGATTACAACGGGCGACAAAAACCAAAAAATTCAGAAACACGCAAAAAATCAAACTGCTCCCGAAGCTATGGACCAGATTTAGTGAATATTCGTTTTTAGTTTTTCTCTTTAATATTAGGATTTTTTTAAAAGGGCTTTCAGAAATAGGGCTTATCTATAATATTTTTTAAAGAAGCTCAGTGCATTGTGGAGTAATAATATGGGCAGTGTTGCCGCCGCTCAAAGAACTTTCTAACCAAGATTAGACGAAAAAGTTACCAAATTTAAGGAAAAATAACCAATTTTTTTATTAGATTAACAATTCAGGTCATCACAAATTCTTTTATATAGTTCGTATAGAAAAAGTTTACAATCCAAAAAAATCAATTTTTATTTGCATTTTTGAAAAATAAATCCTTTTAGGGGTGTAATATGTAAATACATATTTTAGAAAATCAGCCTTCCCGTATTAGATGCATATGTGTGAATGCTAATATCTTCGTAAACAATAACAGACTCTGAATGACGTTTTCAAATAAGTACACAGTTTCCAATTTCTTTGCAAGAATCCATGGAATACCTAATCAGCGTGAACAACCGCATTGTATATATTTTAAGATTAAGATTAAACAAAAAAAAAGTTGGGCTTATTGAACTATATCGTCGCTCAGCGCGAAATATCTCGTATACGTCAAACGAAGTACCGCGTATACGATGATAAATAAAGTTTACAAAAGCGCCAAAAACCGATTTTTTCAAAACTGTGGAATGGTATATTCACTGAACCTACTTGCTGTAAGATTATTATTAGCCATGTTTTATTTGTCCAGAAATTTAAGCTATTAGCTTATTTTGTATGGAGGACTTACCCAACATAATTATATTGGCTTATGAAAAGCTATCTTGGCTTGTATATTGAACAAGAGGCATTGTCCTTCAGCCAATCAGAAAGAGGCAAAAACTTACTTTGACACTATTTGCAGTCAAACAACTGTCAAAATTAGGCTAACATAGGAAATAAGCTAATTTCGTTTTATTTGACCAAGATTTAGCTATTTGCTTGTGATGGTTGAATAAAACATGCCTATTATTAATTATAACTTAAATTAATAAAGTAAGCAGTAATGGAAAAAGAATAACCAAATCCCTTTTTTTATTGTACACACATGAAGTGGTATTGGATTCCGCATATACGAGGTATTTATATATGTACTATCTAAGTATGTATTCATTTGAAGTGGACTTTAGGCGACCATGTATATTATGTATTCTGTATATTATAAAACAAATACATACATACGTAAGTAATATTTACTACGTTTATACGCACGTCTTATTTGCAAATAACAATTTGCAAAATGGTAAACTTTGCCGTATAAACGCTGAGTTAATTTTTTATTTGCAAATAACTAAATCACGCAAATAAGTATTGATTAGTGATACTTTTTGCAAATAAGCGCAAGACGCCGCCATTCTTAAGTTTATTTTCTTTTTCGATGTTCATCTTATTGCCTTTTTATAATCAAGACGTTGCCATTTTTAATTTTATTTTCTTTTCCGATGCTCATATTATTGCCCCTTTATAATCAGGCAATATTAAATAAATTTTTTTCACCGTCGAATAAACAGGGAGTTAGGTATTTGCAAATTATTTTTATTGGTATACGTATACGTATGCGATATACGTTTTCATAACTAGGCGACGGCGGCGGTGTAAACCTCTGATACATATGTACATACATACATACATATCTGTAGCGATATTGCGGCATTTTGAGTAAATGTGTTCCTAATAATATGACTATTAATGGAAAATATGTATCAAATTAGAATGACCTTTCCCTTTTCCAAATAAGTATTACAGGATTGCCACTTAAACATTTATGTAGATACTTGAAAAACTGTAATGGAATATTTCGATATTAAACATAAACAAAATTGTTTGTAAATAAATACTGTTGATCAAATAACTTTAATGTAATATGCATGTGGGGTATTCTTTCTGAACGTTTCTAGCCTTAATTAAAATATGGTTAATCTGCAACATTTATATATATATGCTTTATTAAATTACAGTGACTATAATGGGCATGAAAATGGAAGAAGGAACTAAGAAGTATAACGAGATTTTGAATGCATTTAACATGTAAGTAAATTACCAGCAGTCACACACAATTCGATTTCTACTAAATTACGACATTTATATTTCCAACACACAGTTTGGTTCATCACATGGCAGAGAATTCAGTTTACTCCTCGGTGGGCTTAGGATTTCTAACTCTAACGCCAGATTACAAAAAAACACTTAAATTTTTAAAAGAGTTAGTACGCGATGTAAGTACAAAAACACTTGATAAGAATAAAATGAATTCATCGACTGGATAAATTACAAATAAATATTGACTTCATTAACTTGCAGTTGATTAAGAAAAATCCCTCTCTCAAAGCCGAGTCAGATGAACACGAAGACGGCAAACAAACGGTAATTAATTTGACGCTAAAAGCTATGAAACAAGGAATATACAATGTCAAAGAAGTGGAAATTCAGAGTTTTTCAATGATTGCTGCGGTAAATATTAAAAAGTTTGTTTAGATAGGGGGAAAAACTCGCTAAGGGTACCAGGAAAAAATTTTATGTCGGCATTTTGTTCAAGCCACCTTGTTGCTATGGTTAATGGTAATCAATGTTTAAAAGATTTTTTTTCGCGGTATTTTGTTGAGTTATATGAGTTTAAACATGCAACTTTTCTTAATATGATATGATCTTATGATAGACAATCAACAATTTCTGACCTATTAGAACTTTTTCCGTGCTATATGGTGGGCACAATAATTTTTTGCAATTTTTTTCGTATTCGGATTTAGAAGAAAATTCTTCATAAAAAATACATACAAAAAAATCGCGATTGGCCAACTGATTCAGAAAATTGTAATTAAATGAGTGCACTTTTTTCAGATCTCAAAAACCCGAAATTCGGCTATATTTTAGACAAGGATGTATATTAAAATGTGGTAAGTCGGACTACATTTTCATTTCTGTACATAAACTTGTGTTATATCTATATATCGTTGGAGAGCTTAGAAAATGCGCCGTCGAAATAAGCAAGTCGCAAAAAAAAACAATTTATGTTGACATACAATATTTTCCTGGTGTACTTGGCTAATTTTGCCCCATAGATGAATTGTTTTTTTTTTTTCGAAAATAAGATTGTTCAAGTATACCGTTAATTCGCTCCCAGATATTCGTCTATACCAAAATTTAGGTGACAGATAACCAAGAAAATAACGTTAATTGACACTATTTCGCATATGGGTGCGAAATAAAATCAATTGACATTATTACCTTTTCAAAAGCGAAATAAAATCCATTGACACTATTGCTCTCTCAAACATTAAATTTGCTTAGCTTCGCCGCGACCCGTGGTCCGCGTCCTCACACCAAACCGCGTCGCGCCACCCTTCCTCCTCTCCCGTCGTGCTGTAATTTACATATGTATGTAGGTAGAAAAATTTTTTATAACCTTTTTTTAAGTTTTATACTTAAATATTTCATATATTTTACATATTTTACATTTTTAAATTTATTATTGTTTTTGAAAAATTTTTCCTTTGTTCGCAACCAAGGCATTTTGCATCAGCGGCATTTTACATAATTTTTTAAAAGCATTCTGTTGATTCAATAGTGTTCGCATTATTTTTGGAAACGAAACATGTTTTACAAAATCTGGATCCTTTCTACATTTTTCATCAAATATTTCTCGTATTCCAGCTTTTTGCGTTTGGTTTTTTGTGTTTTTATTATATTCGCAATTTTAAAATTTTTAATAAAATCAATTGGTGCTGGGTTATGATTGTGTTGATTAATAGCACTGAGGATTTGGCAGTAACCTCTTTCATCTATGAAATCACTTACGGGGCAATGTTTATTGTAACGATGGAAGAACATTTTTTTCTTTGACTCGACATACTTTAAGCATTGCATCATTTACTTCATTTCTAATTTTTTTTACTTTATTTCTCTTTTGAAACGGTAATAACTCCAACTGATTTTATTGCGCATCACTATGGGAAATATTATCAATTGACGTTATTTCCGTTGATTATGTTACCTGTTAAACAAATTTAAAGCTACATCTTAAAGAGATCTAGAGAACTGAATACTACTGGATAACTCAGTGAATTTCGGAATTTGACACCATCGGCAGTTTGTTGCCACCATTGAGCTAGGGCACTAAAAGTGCTGCACACTTTGCAACATAGGCGAGCATGGTGCGAAGCATGGATCGTAATAGTTACAACTTTTATTAAAAAAATCGCTCTTTAACAATTAGTTTTTGATGTTAATTTAATTGCTCCTTAAATAACCGTTATTGATGATTTTTATTTTATAAATGCAACATAATTATTTTTGATTTTTATCTAAATAATCTGTAAATAACAGTTATTTTATATTTTTAAATAATAATATTATTTATTATTATGTCTTAGATAACAGCTATCAAAGACTTTTATTCATAAATGTCATAAATAAAAATCAGTCACTGACCTTTATTTTTTAAATCATACTTATAAAAGTCATTTGTATAAGTCGTAGTAAACTTTTGTTTCCCAACACCTTCTTAACTGCGAAACATGTTAATGACTTTTATATGAATGATTTAAAAAATGAAAGTAGGTGACTGATTTATATTGATGACTTTTAAAAGTAAAAGTCACTGACTGATTTTTATGGATGACTTTTATAAATAAAAATCTTCAACAACTGTCACCTGACATAATATAAAAATCAAAAACATTTCTTATTTTGGATTTATAATACAAAAATTAAAAATAATTGTTTTTTTTTTTAATTTTGCATAAAAATTGCAAATTAAAATTTGTTTTCAAAATTGAGTCTCGGCGAAAAAAGAAATCGATTGGTATGTGTCTCTTAGCTGTAGAACATTTCCTTCAAAGTGAGTTTTTCCATGACAGTTTTCATCAATAACTGTTATGTTCGATCCCTGGGGCGAAGTACAAATTTTTACAACTATCAAAGCAGTGATCGGACTTCTACCACATTGTGGTAGATCTGCCACTTTTTTGAGCATCTACCACATCTACCACTCAAGGTCTGAAATCTACCACATATTCGGCGTTTTTGAGTAGTTTTATCTTTTCCTGACATAAGTAAAGAAATCCGAATGGGAGCATAAAATAAATTGTAAAATAGTAAATTTTCTCAGTAATAAATTTTTCGACAGAAAACGGAGTTTTATTGTGTTAAATTGCAAAATATATGATTCGTAAAAAGAATTAATGGCGAAAATGTTAAAAAACGGTGATTTTTGTGAAAGTATTAGCAAATTTAATGCGGCCGCTGTGGTGTAGTGGTAAGCAGTGTGCGCTTCCATTCCACAGCACCTAGGTTCAAGGCCTGGTCAAAGCAACATCGCAAAAAAATACGGAAAAAGGTTTTTTCTTAACAGTCGGCCTCCCTCGAGCAGGCAATGGCAAACCTCCGAGTGTATTTCTGCCATGAAAAACAGCTTCTCATAAAAATACAATCGCCGTTCGGAGTCGGCGTAAAACTGTAGGTCCCTCCGCTT